TTGGGCCATTATGGCTGTCTTGGGTGCGTCTTGGGCCGTCTCGGGCGCCTCTGGAGCCGTCCCGGGGCCGTGTGGGGCCGTTTGGGGGCCCTCCTGCTGAGCTGGGGGGGCTGTATAGCCGTCTTGGACGTGCGAGGACGAAAAAACAAGATCTATTGAACATGAACGTTTTCCGGGACTGACGATTTGGGCCTCTTGGGGCTCTCCTGGAGGCCCTCCTGGGCCGTCTTGGGAGCCTCCTGGCCTTCCTTGGGGGCCTCTGGGGCTGTCTTGGGGCTCCCAAGGGTGCTCTGAGGCTGTCTTGGCGCCCCCTGGAGCCTCTCGGAGCTGTCCCGTTGGCCATTCTTGGCTGCTCTTGGGGCTGTCTTGGGTGCGTCCTGGGCCGTCTCGGGCGCCTCTGGAGCCGACCCCGGGCCGTGCGGGGCCCTTTGGGGGCCTCTGGGCGCGTCTTGGGGCGAGGTGGAGGGCCTGTATAGCCATCTGGGACGCTGTGAGGAAGGAAAAAACGGCACATAATGAAACAATACGTTTCCCGTCAGGAATGGGACGATTTTGGCCCCTTGGTGGGCCTCGTGGGGCTTGCTTTGGGTTTCTTGGGGGCCTCTGGGGACCTCTTGGTCCGTAGTGGGCAGGGCCGCCTCGCTCTGAGGTGTTGCAACATGAGGCAAAATGCCTACAAAATGTCATGCTGGCCTCCCGAGGCCATTCTGTCAAAATGTTTATTGAAAGGTCCGGTGTACGAAGCAAAATGTGAGAAGCTTTCTGTGTTGCGGAGCGGATGAGGACCTGGCGCTACGAAACAATTACATGTGACGCTAAGCTCATCCACGTTTCCCTTATTTCCAACGTCGAGCGGGGGGAATAAGGTCGGAGGGATAAGAATAACGGAGGTGAGGTAATGATAACGACATGGGGAGGAGCAGAGGGATGCAGGATTTAGGAAGGAGGGGCGAGGTAGAGGAGGATAAGTTTTTTTCTTAGACGCGTCGCCCGTCCCCCTCGGGGGAGGCCGTTGACTTGGATTCCACTGAACGTGGCACAGTGTATTGTCCGTAACCGATTTGGCTCAAACGATTGTTCGTTCGGTGCCCATCTTTGTCCATCTTGATATTCGTTATGACACGCTCCTTGCATGCTGCCCCATCATGCCACGGTGTGATGTACGAGATGTGCAGCATTTGGCGGTGCAGGCAAACCAGCGGCGGAAGCAGGAGCGACTGGATGCCGAGAGACGGGTCATGCCAAAATTGTCTCCAGAGGATGCTCGTGCAGTGGCGACTCGTCCCAAGTTGATGCAGGTACCGTTTGAGCTTGTCAAGGTCGTGGGCAATCACATCGTCGCTGCACGGCAGAACGTCGATGAAATCACTGATACTCTTGCCTTGGATGTCAAGGCTGGACGGCTGGGCATGACTCGAACGTCGCTGGAAGAGCAAGCCGCCAGGAGAGAGAAAGATCGGAAAACGATGCAGCGAGAGAAGCAACAAATCGCTTGCATCTTGTGGTGTTCGGACAGGGTTTTCAGATATGGCCTCGCTTCTCGGCTTGCTTCTGCCAAGAGTACAGGATCAGACATCAGGCTATTGAATTGCGTCGACTTCTCAGCGTACGACGAGACCCCCATGTTCTTGAGAGGAGGAAGCCTTGACGTTTCAACTGTTGGCGGTGGGAGTGGTGCACTGGCCGTTCCCACATTCCACGGCACTATGGCTTTAGCGAGCGCTGGGAAGCCACTCATGTCAGGGTCGGAGCGGAGTAAACTGTTTTGTATTGCCTCAGGCTATGCATTCGCTGTCGCATACAAGCATCCAGGTTGGGAGAGACACCAATACGTTATCTTCAGAGGCAATCATGTCAATACTTGCCACAGGATCCAGCACAATTCCATTGAATGCATGTCTCGAGCGCTGTGCGACGCAGATCCGACAACGTTGCCAGAAGACTTGTTCGAACAGAAAAGCAGAGTATACAGCGCTGACCGACACCCCAGCAACGCTGGGTCGCACAGGATGTTGATGTCGTTACGGAGGCAATCGTGGAAGGGCATGGGATTCAATTGTGAAGCGCACATCAACTTCAAGGCCCACACTGAAGGTGGACATTATATGAAATGGGCTTTATCAGGCATGTGCCACATTGCACTGTCGCTGCAGGATGCTGGCGACACCAATATTTTCAGATTATGTTTGCAGGATGTTCTCAGTGGAGATGGGAGATGTGGGATTCGATTCTGCCGCGGAAGCGCCCCCATCGAGACGACCGTCTACAAACATTGTGCCATCAAGACGTTCTTGGCAGGACGTTCGCAAGTGCTTCAGCGCCAGGTGCTCTTCTCGCTCTTGCCCGATGGTGATTGGATGGGCCCTTCGTGCGTGGACGTCTGGATACCAACGGATGAAGTGATTGACGAACCTGAGCTCAAGCGACAGTTGGCAGAGACGATCGCCCATGCGCTCATGCCGAACAGCCTGCAGGTCATAAAGGTGCACAGGTGGAAAGGAACAGAGGGCGCTGTGAGTGGAATTGGTCTGCTGGTCGCATTTCACAATATCCTTGACCCATCCTTCAAGCTATTCCTTCAACGAGTTAAAGGTCGGCGCGTGCACGACGCTGACGGCGGTGGGGGCGGCGCGCCAGGGGCGGACGTCGCCGTCGACGCAGCCCTTCTGGACCAGGAAGGCGGCGGTCAAGATCAGGCCGACGATGCACATGTTGACATGGCGGCAAGTTCGAATGAGCAGCGCAAAAAGATGGCCAAGAGCATGTCGAAGGGCCCCGACTTTCTGGACCACGTCTCGCCACGGCCCCACACAGCGACGCTGTTGCTGCGGAACGTCCTCCGTCCACTACAAGTTATGCTCGATGCCCAAGGCAGGCTGAGTTCTTTGAAGTGGGAACGGCAGCAGGAGGCATCTGCGGCGAAGGCTGCGCTGGAGAGTAGAGGCGGCGATGGCATGCTGCGGCGGGACTTTCGAGTGCTGGTGGCCGCTCGAGGTGATTTGGAGAATTCTTTATTCCAGAAGTTTCGGACGCTCTTGTTCGACGCCCGCGTGTGGCTGCTTCTCTTGCCCGAGGAGGTTAACAACAAGACTCGCGCGACGGCCTTCCTCATGATCCAGAGGGCGGCAGGTGTAGTGGAGAGGCTGATCGCGCGCCCCCACAGGCTCCCGCCCTTCAACAATTTCCTGTTGCTGCACCAGCCTGAGTTGGCACAGTCGATCCTGGGCCAGCCTGAATGCGTGAAGGACGAGTGGACGAAGCAGTTCCATCAATCGCATCCAGACTTGAGCGCGCCAGAAGCCATGGTTGCATTGGTTTCTCACGCCCTGGTCGTCTTTACCAACATTATACCACGCGAGAATTACCATGCACACGTTCGGAGGGCGGTGAACACAAGAGTCCAGACCGACCCCATTGATGCGACAACGCTGGGGGAGCAACTAGTCAACTCTCATTTTCGCTGTGATGCGCCTGAGCCCGCAGCCGATCAAGCTGGCAGCGGTTGCAGTGCCCAGGAGTCAGCCCTTGGCGCTGACGGCGGAGGCAGACAGCCTGGCCCTTCTGGAGGCCCATGGAGACTCTTCGTCAGGAGAATGCGCAATAACGACCTTCGGACCGTTGCTGAACAGTACCGTACTTTGAAGGCCGACCCCGAGAGCGATGAGTTCCAGGACCTTCTGCGAGAGGGCGCCGAAGCAACCGAGCGAGCACGCAATGGCGAACTAGCTTTTGGAGCTTCTTCGAAGGACATTGCAAGGCGGAACATGACTAGGGTGGCTCTGTCATACGCCAAGGAGTTGTCGGAGGAGGGGGGCCACGTTAGCTCTCGGCTGGAAGAGGTGTGCTTGGCCATGGGCACCCCTGAGTCCGCCAAGAAGGTACTGGGTGCAATACGGCGCCACTCGAACGCAGCAGAGCGCCAGGCCGAGAGTGCTGATCAAGCCGCAGTTGCCAGGCACGCGAAGGAGTTCACCGACGTTGCCATTGCAGACATTGATCGTGCTTCCCCTGGTTTGAGCGGCACTCCTGGGACCTTTGTTGCACGAGCGCCCGTGTGGGGAGGCGTGCGTATTCTCGAGACCAACCCAGCGGCCATTAGAGACGCCGCTGCGCACGTCTTCCAGCATCAGAAAGACGCAGGCCAGAAGACGAACTTTGGCGCAGTAGGGCAGAAGTTC